CAATATGAAGTATCTGATCACACTAATCCCATATCCTTAATTATGAACGAAAGACTAATTTTATTTGAGAGGGGGAGATGGTGAGCTTTGTAGATCGACGTCGTTCGATGATCTGACTGATGCTTAGGAAGCACGCTACTTAGCCGCCCATGACTGAGCTAGCGGCTCCGGAGTGTCATGTGCATCTGTCAGGTGACATACGGAAGATGTGACACTTCAAAGCGTCATGGGTATGACCGTGACCGGCTGAAGATCCGTGTCCCACAGAAGAGTACCTGCCATGCTCTCAGATATCCTGCAGACTCTGAGAAACTTTACACCTGAGAAGAGATGGTCCCAATCTGTCTTGTATCAAGAGGAGATGAGTGTAGCTGATTGGGTTGTTGCACAATAGCCTCCTCAACATCAAAACTTCCAAATGCTGTTTCTTCCTCCCATGCATGCATTCATGGGATCTTTTTTGGTAGCCTCTTTCCAATCATGATCTAGAGCTACAGATCCAAAGCATAGTTGATTTTGATCAGTGGTGTTGTGGAAACTTCAGATCTTCTTAGTGTCATCGCCCTAGGTGTCATGACACTTCGGAGTGTCACGGATCTGCAGCTGGTCATGATCATACCCGTGACGCTTCGAAGTGTCACGTCTTCCGTACGTCACCTAACACATCTGCCACTTATCAAATTTCCGTATCCTTCAGTTTATGCGCGTCTCACCAGGAGATTCATATCAACCAGTCTACTTCCATTAAACATTCTCCTCAACTCTTGACGTCTACGAAACACAATCGTGCGTTGATATGTCCCTTATTCAGTCTGCCTTCACTCTTGAATTCGAGCACCTTTTCCAGCAATGGCTGCCCAAACAGCACTACAAGTACACGATATCCGATGAAGACTACAATAACCGAAGATGGGTCTTGGAACACCCTGATGAAAATCTGCCCTTTGCACCCCCTCATAATTCCTGGTAGACAAAAGTGCAACAACAGTGTCGTCTTAGTGATGACAGACATGACATTTTGATCTGCCCTTTAGGAGAAACAACAGATTACAAACTTGTCTCGGTTTCAGATGTCTTTTTGAAGATTAAACATGTCCATTGTAACATTGTTGGACATTCCGGCCAAAACAAAACCCTTTCAGAGATACGACCCCATTATTGAGGCATTGGCAAGTTTGAGATCAAAAAGATGATCGACGCCTGCAATGAATGTCAATTGAAGTAAGTTCTTTCTCAATTCTGAAGTCATGGAGTTATAGGAGTGACACCCTGCAGAGCTCGAAACAAGGATAAGGGTCCACTTCAACCATTGAAATCTGACGCCCCGTTTGAGCGCATTCATGTCACGAACTACGTCGTGACACCTCAGATTCCACCAGCAATGACCCTCCTTTGACCATCAAAACCCTATCACGTCTTAACCTTGTCACCCCACACGTAACTTAGGACATCTGAGACCAAGTACGGCGAAGTTAGGCGGAGTTAGGTGAACTAGGGACAATGGGAGCAGAAGTTCGGCGATGTTGGGCGGAGTTAGTCGAAGGACGGGGAAGGACGGCCGAGACTCGGGGAAGTTGGACGAAGTGCGTTGAAGTACGTCTAAGCGCGAGAGGGTTGGGTGAAGATCTAGGGGGAGTAAAAAATATTAGCTGAGAAGATCGCTGAAGTTCTTCAGCGATCCTTGATTGTTGCCAGTAGTGAAAGACAGATAGAGATAGCTATATACAAAGTGAGATACATCCCCATCAGTAGAACAAAACCCCAGTTAGAGTAACTACGCCGAAGCACACCGTAGTTACACTCCTTTCGACGTCTGCGCCCTCCTGGTTGGGTGAGACATCGACTTAGAAGCGTCAAGTTATCCAAGGTTTGTCGACCGTCGGTCTGATAGAGAGTAGTCGTTCGACGGCCGTGACAATTCAGATTGATTTGATTGATATGCGTTCAAATGACTGCAAGGAAGATGGGAAGCAATATCATTGGATCTGTCATATTAAGGACCATTTCAGCAAGTATTCTCAAATTGTAAGTCTCCTCAGTCGTGTTTATCCATCTGAATGGCAATACCCAAGGACTACAAAGTCGCAGTACCCAATGACTACAAAGTCGGCAAAGGATGTGGAAGCTTGTCTTCTCAGATGGATCAAACACTTTGGGGCTCCTGATATTCTTCAGTCCGATAATGGGCGTGGATTTTGCAATACACTCATCACAAATCTGGCCGAAACCTATGACTTGAAAATCAAATATGGTCTTCCTCGCACACCTCGGGTTCAAGGTCTAGTTGAACAGGCCAATAGTACGGTAACAACTTGGCTCTCAAAGTGGTGTCTTGTTCACCCCAATCGTCCGTGGTAGGTCTGTCTCTGATCAGTCTCAAATTGAGAGTGCTAAGTCCCAGGATTGACGGGTTATCCACTGTCAATTGCTCCATCAATTACACAAAGCATAGGGCAACTGTCACGCCTGCGGGTAGACTGCGGTTGCAAAGTACTGCCTTGGGTACTGAAAGTGAGTGCACCGCGGGAAACCAATTCCAGCCAATCACAAAAATGCCTCACTGCTAA